GCTATTCACCCTGTTTCTAGGACTCAGTCTGGAAATAAATCTTGGGAAAACTGGAGGCCAGAGGGATCCTTTCCCCCACAACCTTATTTACTACTTATAAAAACAGTTATATGCTTAGGACATTCAGTCTTAAAGAAGTTTTAAACTTGGTGCTGCATATGAAACACGCAATCAATACATGGTGTTCCTTTGCAATGTTTGTCTCCCAATAAAATGATAAACAATTTCTTTAAAGGGGACACAGAAGGTGCAACTCAGGAGTGGGAGTTTAAACCTTCACTGGTGAACACTCCACACACCATCCCCCGTGTCTCAGTGCATTCACCTGCATTCACAGGGGGCTTCCCAGCAACTCTTCCTCTACAAACACACTTTTCCATTTACTAAAAACAATGAGAATGAGTCACTTGTGCAGAATACAGCTCTCCCCGTACACCAGATGCCTGATGTTGCATGCTGTGAAGCCAAAAAAAAAAAATAATCGTGCCTACTCAAGTTACAGTATTCGTCACACAAGTCTGTCAGCATTTTGCATCTTTTGTAAATGTTTTCTTTGGAATGTTTGAATTTTTTTTTTTTTTTAATGTTAAGACCTTAATATTCCTTGTCAAAATGCACTACCCAGTCCTGTAAGAGCTGGCATCTAATTAGCTCAGATAGTAGCAGCTTGAGAATACCACCCAAACAATGACCCAAAATTAATGTCTTCTAACAAGGGAGTAAAACAAATGGAGAGAAAAAAAACTCAGAGCTTTAGAACTGAGAAAACCAGCATTTCCTCGTGTTTTACAAGGCTTTCCCTTCCAACTCTACTGCATCTGTTCCTATAAATAACACGAAAAGAAATAAAAAATGCTCATCTTTTCAACCCAGTTCTTCCAGAACTCCTACAGAAATGCTTCCTGACTGGGGAGCTGCACACGGAACAGGCAGGCAGAACTCCTGCCCCTCCACCCCTCTCTGAAACCAGCGGAGTGGAAGCACAAATCAAACCCTGAACAGTGAACGGCACTGAAGTGGAGAATGAAATTATACAACTGTTTGGGGGGATGTTCCACAATCACTGCAGAATCTTAGCAAGTAATTAGGAAGTTTGCCCCTTTTTTTCCTCCAGAATAAGAGGATGACAGCTGAGCCCAGTTCTACCTTTTGTCTCTTTACAGAGGTGTTGCATCAACTGACTCGTTAAAATTAGAGGAGTGATTTAAAATAAAGGCACTTGCCTTTAGCCACGCATTACATGTAAGGACAGAACAGAACAGGGACACAGTAACAGGCAGACCCAGATGCTGTAGATCCTAAATTATTCATGACCTATTCAGTACAAAATAAAATGGCCCTAGAAAATTAATTTTAGTAAGAACGGAATGAAATTTTTAAGATATCTCTACAAATTATGAAGTTCCTCCACGAACCATACATTCAGCAGTTGCAAATAGTTAAGATGTAAAAGTGCAGAAGAAAGAAGAGTTTAATCAGTTCCTAATGAGATAAGTGTGCCAGATACCACAAAGGATGGCACTACTTCAGCAAAGTGAAAACAGTGTTCAACACACTGAAGTAAACAAGAACAGCATTTAATATTGATTAGTTTCAAGCAATAATTGAGTATTTCAAGTAATGTTTTGTACACTTGCAGGAGGCATTTCAGACTTTGAAGTTAGTTGTAATCTAGCAACAATCTCATTGTAAAACCTGACCACCAGTGCAGCTGTGTCCTTCCAGTCTCTCATTTCCATAAGCACTAAAGAAGCCTATTTTTGCTCTTATTCTCGTTTAGAGCATTAAGACTCTAAAAACTGTTCTGATGGGATTACACGGAATACAGTTGCTATTTTCACAACCTGAGCTCTCCAGACAACAGAAATGTTTTTACTAGGAAAAAAAAAAAAAAATAATAATAAGGAAAAGAGCAGCAGTCACAGATGCTGACAAACTCAACCTCCAGCATAACAAACGTCACCGGGATTCTCTTTGGGAAAGCTGCAGTTGCAGAAACGATAATCATTAGGCTTAATATAGTTCTGAGCCAAATTATGGCAGCTGTGCATGCCACAACAAAGAGCATTTTTAAGTATCAAGCACGCAGTTAATTTAACTGCAACCAAACTCCAGAATATTTCGGATTCACAGCAGATTGCTCAGAGCACTGAATGCATCCCAGGGCTGCTCTTACCTTTCTTAGCAGCATCTGCTCTCCGTCTTGCTGGCGACACCAGATCCTTTACAATCTGTAGCACTTGAATCATTGCTCGTCAGCAAGATCAAAGGGACTGGGTGCTCCTCGAGAATTCCAACAGGTTTCATTCCTGCACCTGATTACATGGCTGTCCTCGGAACGCTCAAGCAAAACTGATGCAGGAACAACTCATCCACCTTCACAGGAAGATTTCTGCCTGACGACTCCACAGGCTGGGGTGATGGATTTAAAGTGACTTCAGCACAAGGAGGCAAGAAACTGCCAGCAGTCCTGAGCATGTTTCTACAGAGCATTTTAAAATTATTTACCACAGAAAACGCATAGTGATGCCTCTAAATAAAGTTTAAAGTAATAAAGTAATCATGCCACAAAGTAGTTAAATTAAAAAAAAAAAAAAAAAAAAAAAAAAAAAAAAAAAAAAAAAAAAAAAAAAAAAAAAAAAACCACACTTGCAGTGACTGCTGACAGATGCAGCTCCCCTGGGCTCAGTAAGAAGTGGCTGCATCCTCCCTTCAAGTCTGTCTCAATTCACGAAATTCCACGTAATGCTCCAAGAAGGACCCCGGTCGGTGCAGCGCAGAGCCAACGTCAGACCCACCAGCAGGACTAAAATTAAACCCAGCCTGCAAAAACCCCATCAGGCACAAGCAAGCTCCTGCTAGAAACAGGCACTGGGTTCCTCCTCTCCCCCCTTGAACACAAACCTCGGACACCCCTGGACGTGACAGGAATCCTCGCATGCCATGAGGTTGGAAATCCTGGGAGCATTTCGGGCATTCTCTCTCCCACCACCAGAGGCCCAGAGAACTATTTCAGCAGAGCCATTGTGATTACTTCTGTCAGGTAATTTTAGGCAGACAGATTGCAGTATGTGCCCCCTACCCCCCCCCCCAACATTTTAATGCCATCTGGAAAATGTACAAAGGCCCTTCAGAAGTGCCTTTTGTCAAAACCTCTACAGAGATACAAAAAAAAAAAAAATAATGAGGAATCATGTTTTACGTGATCACCTTAAATAACTGTCAGCCCTGAAGGAGCTCTGTGAACACTCTGGAAAACTGAATTCCTACACAGCACTGTGAGGCCTTGCTCACACACAGAGATCAATTTAGGAAGCCAGTTACATGTTCTGAAAACCATAACATTAAAACAAACCACAGACAGGCCACATTCTCTGGCCTTTAGACCTTCTGTTCCCATTGCTTAAGTGTGAGATGGGGGGTGGGGGGAGGACAGGTCACCTCTTTCCATTCCCAGCTGCTCATCACAAGCATTTTAGATCTTATATACGCTGGCATATTTATCCACGTCCCTGTCAGTCCCTTGAAACACAGAGCACAGGCACAGCAAACCACTTGTGTTGTGTCAGTCTCATTTACAGCCTGCCCATTAATCCATCTCTGCCAGAAGTAAGAGCAACCCAAAGTCCTGTTGCATTTGGTTTGGCAAAACAGAGACAGGGGAAATCATTCTCTCTGCCAACCTGTCCAGTTTCTTCTCCCACCCCGGCAAACATTCAAGTGTCCTCCCAACAGGAAGCTCGTAGACAGACTGTGCAACTGCAGCTTCTCCTTCCTGAGAAAGGATCCTTCACAGCAAAGAAACAGAACTCTCAACTCTCTCTATGAACAATAATTTCTAAGTCCTGGACCTCAACTTAAATTCCAGGTTTAAGCCTAATGACTGTACATAGAGAGGCATGGAGGAGAAGATTACTACAAACACAGCTTTCTAGATCAGTGTAATTTGAAAACACTTAAATAAGATGCAGAACGCAGGGTTGGGGGATAAAGTTTACCTGGAGGTCCATTACTTAATAATCCAGTTCTCAAAACTGCTGCTGTAAAAACTGTTCCACAACTACCTTGCCACGATGTGTTTGTTCTTCAGTTAGTTGGGTAATCTGTTGTCAAGTCAGGTACAAACCCAAAGGAACAGCATTCCTTGCAGCTGTATTACATTACAAATTTCCTCTGAAAAACTGGCTCTTAGGTTTATAGATCACAGAACACAACTACCTTTACAGAACTCCTAAACTTTCGATGGTCCTTATATAAACATGGATAGGAAGAAGAAGGAAAATAAAAAGGTTTGAATAAAATCTTCAGTAACAACATCCACTTGGCCTTCCAAAGCAGGAGTGTGCCTTGAAGGTCCTAGAACTGATCCTTAACTGAACTTGATTATCTCATCTCTACACCAACGTTCTCAAGGGCTGGAACAAGGAGGCACTTCAGTACCTGTTCC